AGCAGAAGGTGGGAACACTCACCATTGCGGTGTCATAAAAAAAATCAAATGATCAATTTTGATGTTTGAAGAGCGTAGATTGATTGGTTGTTTACATCACTCAACACAAGCAGAACTGCATTACAAAATCAGAAGACACATTGTTCACATACAGAAGCACATCTCTGTGTAGTGACAGTTCTTATGATTTAAACAAGCAAATGCTCAGCATTCAAACTACAGGTGAACAATAGTCAAAGGTTTCCCCCGTTATGTATATATCAGCTAGTCAAGTACAGACCTGCACAGCATGTCAACAAACTGTGAAAAAAAGCCACAGAAAAAAACAAATGAATGATTGCTGGTAAGGGTCTCTATATATATATATTAGTATTCACAAAAGTTATGTTGTGACTTACCTTCAAAATGGCAAGTAAACAAATACTGAGAAATATAACCTTTTAATCTTTTCTCTCTTTTCCTCTGAGGCGTGGGGGGAAAATATCGACAAGTCGATGTACATCATCTACAGATATATTCAGTAAATGCCCAAGACATGTTGTGAAATGTAAATCGCCGCTTGATTCATCCATTTGGTTGACTTGTTTTGGAAAACCAGACCATAAACAAGGAGCGAATATCACACTGGAAACAAGGCGCTATACAGGAGTTTCCCCAACGAAAGTAGCATATGCTAAGGTGCACAGAGTCTATCTCACCCCTTTTCTTCAATTTGATGTTGCTAGGTTAGAGATGGAGAACCGTCTTGCAGCACTAGAACAGCAGAGGGCGCTGCATGATGCCTCAGATCAAGCCCAGAAGGAGGAGTGGGAGGAGCGACTCCGCAGCACCCAGCAGGGTGAAGAGACAGCACGCAGAGAGCTGCAAAACCTGAGGTCAGGTTTGTGCTGCAAAACAACCACAGTTGCATTAGTAAGAGGGCAAAACTGGGGCATGAGGAGTAGCTGTATGATATCTGAAACTTGCATAAAAGTAGAACTGGGGTTGTGACATGTTGAACTTTCTATGATTGATCTTGATTTTCTTTTTATCATCTTTCACTTTCTGTTCCTATTTTGTGGTCAGCTACTAAAATATGTGTCAGGCGTAGAACCTGGGGACTTTTTTCTTGCTTTTTTTAAAATGTTTTTGTCTGATACCTTTTTATTTTATCTCATAGGACTAAGTTACAGCAGCAGAGCTCACAGCTTGAGGAGCTGGAGAGGCAGAAAGCAGAAATTGCTGATCTGCATCAAGTAAGACACAACCAACCAACCATAAAGTCTTATTTCGACACTAAACAAACAAAAAACAATGGTAGTTTTTACGCCTGCAGTAATAATTACTGTTTGTTTGACACAACAGCAAAACCAGGAACTTGGTGTGCAGATGGAGGCGCTGTCTCACTCTGAAAGTGACATGATGGAGACAAACCGACGACTGAGAGAAACACTGGACAGAGTGAGGGAGGAGCTGAGGACAGCCCGGGCACAGGCAGAGAGGAGCCAGCACGAGGCAGAGAGGTACACCCGCACAGTTGCCCAGTCTAACACAGGGATGTCAAGCTCATTTTACATGGTAGGCCACATATAGCCCACTTTGAAGAGGACCGACCAGTGAAACACCCCGTTCTGTCAGTGTAAAGAATTCTTTACTACACATTTGATCCTTGAGGTAGTTTGTTATAATGTATGCAACAATACATTTCAGTTTTTCTACACGATAAAGAAAAGTCTTACAGCGCGACTATCTGCTCTCAAATTGTAAGAAAGAACTAAGACAACTAATGGGAGTCTTTGGCGGGCTTAGTGTGGCTCCCAGACCGTATGTTTGACAACCTAGTTTAACATGTACTCACTCTCATATGGCACTTTTCAAGTCTGAGTGACCACTCAAAACATTTTAACATGAATTTAGTGGCTTTTTGCTCCTTTCACATCCTCCTTCTGTCTCTTCCTTCCGCAGGTTGGTGGAGGAGCGTCGTATCGAGTGGTTGGAGGAGAAGCACAAGCTGCAGGAGCGAGAGGCTGAGCTGCAGCAGAAATATTCTCAGGTCAAAGACAAACTGCAGAGGGCAGCGGTGGCTCAAAAGAAGGTACCGCTTCTTCATTCCCTGCCTTTTACGGTAAACCCTGGCAAAAACAGTAAAATCACCACACGTGGATTATAATCATTCAAGCTTTTTCCTAATCTTGAGACTCACAACACATCACAGATATGACACAATTTTTTTGTTTATCAGCTGAAAATTCTGGCTTTATGAAGCATTATTCAAAAAGTAAAAAAAAAATTCATTTATGCTCCGTTTTCCCCCCCGATCAAGTGAAGCACAAAATGATGTAATTGTCCTTTAATTTTCAGTACTAAAACTGAATAAGCAACACAGTCTACAGTTAACAGAGTTTGCAGTTTTTAACAGGCTTCTGCACCTGGCTGTGTTAAAGGAAGCATGGGCCGAGCTAGAAAACTGTCTGTCGCAACATGAAAAATGCTCATATAGTTCCTGCAAGAAGGGAATCGGTTGGCCGTTCAGTCTGCTGTGTCTGAAATTTCAAGCATGTGTCAGCAAAACTATAAGGAAGGAAAACTTTTAGTTAACTGGTAGATGTCAAAGCATCAGAACAGAAAAGTGAAAGAAGTGTGCCTTTTGGAAACAGAAAATGTGCAACAAAAGAAGTGAAAAACAAATGTGAAAAAAAAGGAATTGATGTTTGTGACAGAACTGATTTAAAAAAAAAAAAGCAGAATTACGTGATGTAATTCATGGATGACTGGACAAAAGCAGTGAATCTGTGTTAGCCAAGGAGGCTGATGAATTTTTTTTTTTCCCCGGTGTTATTCAGATGAAACTTGTAAACCACATTTCCCCACTCATGTGCTATAAGTGAACATGTGGGCGTCATTAAATGTATAGGAGGTTTTTTCTCATTTAACAGATAGGAAGTAGGTTTGCTGCACAAGTTGTATTGATGCATGAACAAAGATAGTTGTAAAGCTTCTGTTGATGCAGGCAGACCAACTTAATCCAATAGAAAAATTATGCCTGAAGTTAGGAAAGAAAAAAAATCATTATTCCATTTTTTTTGTATCTGTGTTCTTTAAAAGGAAAAACACAGAAATCTGTCATTAATGACATAATTTTCCTCCCTGAGACGTGAGTCCATAGTGATTTCCAGGGGTTGCATGTGCATAGGTCCATATGCTTTTAACTGGTTTCTTTTTTTGTTTAGACATTTCTTTGTGCTTTTTTTCAGTCATAAATAAATATTTTTAACACACATGTTCACAAGAAGACCTTTTAATGTTTGTTTGCACTTTAACATTGTTAGGAGTTACAGAGAAAGCAACTAATCTGTCTGTGTCTGTGTGTCTTTGTGTCTTTGTGTGTTTAGAGAAAAACGCTGACAGAGAACAAAGAGAAGAGACTGCAGGATAAAATCCAGTTGCTGGAGGCCAAGATTGAGGAGCTGGAACTGGAAGCTGCTGCAGTTAAAAAGTAAATGTGATCGCCTTTTTAAAAAACTGTGCAGCCTGGAGAGTGTAACAAAGTGTTGCTTTGTTTTTATTTTTGACAAGATGATTTCTGTAACAGTGGCCCTATTAGATTGTAGTTTTATTGAACACTGCTCCTCCAAACACAAAAAGCCAGTGTATAACACCAGAGGAGTCACTTGCTTTTAGCCGAAACCGCATTTGCTCAGTTCGCCAGCAATGCATCTGCCGAGTTTGAAGTCGGATGGTTCAGTGTTTGCCAATTTGGAGAAGAACACGGAATCATTTCAGATTTCTTATTAGTGCAAGATGATGTGTTCAAATCGACTTTTGAGGCACCGCACTCTACTGTTTCATTAGGAAATGGCTCACAATATGGATTTTTTAAATTTTTTTGGCCTTGAATGATGAAGCCACACGGACTTTACGGGGGCTCGATGTCAATATGCTCTTTTCTCTCGTGTCCAGGCGTTCATTGTTCTCACAGGAGCAAGCTCAAGTGAACAAACGGCTGAAGGAGCTGCAGAGGCGTCACAATGAGTTTCGGCGCCTCCTGCTTGGCGGTCAGGGCCCCTTCAGTGCAGGCCCTGCGTTCCTGACCTCTTCACAGGCCCCCTTCGTCTTCCTCGGGTCTGAGGGACAGTTTGGTAACAACCCAGTAAGCGTCTTGTACACTTCATCTCTTTGGTTAGATTCCTTTTTTTGCTTGAATGATTCAAAGCTCAGTATTAAACGGCTTAGCCAACATTTCTTTGAAAGTTTGAAAGAGCTTCAGAAAGCCTGTGGAACTGTTGCTGTGGCTTCACACTGTTGCCCAGTACTACCGATTATTATAATGGCCTGTTTATCAGCTCTTTCTGAGGCAGCTGTGGCTCGGGAGGTTGTCCGTGTCCACTATAGGTATATAAGGGTTGATGAACATATATGTGATTGGATGAAAAGTGCTATGAGTGGTCAGCGTAGTAAAGCACTATGTCAATTTACACTGACAGGCCATAGAGAGTGCACTGGCAGGCTACTAACACATTCTGATGAGAACGCTCATATTAACTCGACTTTATGCTTTTCTGGCTCATGGTGGATTTTAGGATTCGCTTTAAAACTGCAGACAGAGCACCTAATGAAGAGTCTAGTGCTTGCTCTCCTGAAACACACTGCTGCTTGCACTCTGCAAACACACAGGATCGGAATTGTTGGCGCTTCAGCTGTGTTCAGTTGACTCTATGTTGCAGAGTTCATTTAGCAGTCTCTATAATGTTATAACTTCTCCTTGCATCTCTTTCTTTGCCTCCCCGCATCCTTCTCTCCTCTCAGGAGGATCATGGTTCTGAATTCTCTCTGTTGCGTCAGAGACTGGAGAATCTGGAAAGTGCCCAGCAGCAGCAGTTGGAGGAACTGGGCTCTCTGGTACAAAGAGATCGGCGCACCACACCCCAGCCTGAACTCTGACACTGTTTCTACTTCCCATGGGGCTTCAAGTACGAGCATAGTTTGAGATGACATCCTGCTTTCAAATCAAGCGGACTGTGTTTTTATAAAAATAAAACATTTATTGGAAGAATTCCACATTTTATATGTCTAAAATGTGATACCTTGGCACTTTTTCACATGATATCCTCAGGGCTGGATTTTGTAATAAGAAACTTGTTTACATTTGTTATAAAGCCATTGTCTTGGGGGAAAAAATACAGAGGAGTCATACAGATGACACTACGGACTACGTTGCACAATGATGATACAGACTTGAACTGTATTAAAATATTTGTACATTAACCTTGTGTCTGACATGTCTTTGGAATCATTGTGCATTTGGGTTCATGAGTTTTAACAACAATTACTCCGCTGGTGAAGAAAGTGAAAGTCCATCAGATACAAAAAGCTTTCGGTAAACGAAACATCCTCTGTGAGGTTCACTCCCTTGCTTGATATTCACAGCTTATTCCTATTAGAGAAAAGACAGATGGTTCAACTCCAGGAGCAGCTTTTCAGTCCATCAAATGATTGCTTTACATGTTGTAGCTGCTCCTTCAGCTCAGCAGGGACTCCGTTCTCGTCCAGTTTCTGCTTGATCTGTAAAAAAAAAAGAAGAAAGGGGACAAAGACACCTTAGAAAATGCAGTGTTTAAAGTGTCATTTAAACCTCAGTATAAAAAGCTGGTGTACAAAAAACTTGTCTTAATAAGCCTTTAACTGTAAAATATTTCAGGGCACAAAATTAGGAACAGTTTAGCTTGTTAGTCCCGTGTCTCTGGAATGTTTTTTCAAGAAGGCTTTGAGGTCTTTTAAAATAGCCTGAAGCTTTAACAGTAAACAAAATCTGTTTTTAAAAAGTGCTGCTCTGCACCCGAGAACAGGAAACAACCCGATCAAGTCAGGTCTGAACACATTTCCTCTGCAGGCGCAGCCTCGTGTGTCACCAGGTTTCACAAGTGAAGTCACTAATGTCAACATCTTAGTCCAAGGGAAAGCAAATAAGATGTGAGTTATGGAGGACCGGTTCTGTTATTTCTAACATTTTGCAGTGATCAGAGTATTTTGATAACATATTGCCATTTATTACCCCCCCCCCCCCTTTTTTTTTCTTCTAAATTTAAGCCGTGACCAATTTTTGTTGCAACCACTGTTTTCTGTAGTGTGACCCTAGCCTTAGTGGGAACTGTGCTCCTATCTAGCTCTGTGCAGTTTGACATTTGCCAGAGAACACCAGAACGGCCACTGGTTCCCCTCTGACTGATGGGGCAAATGGCAAACCTGAATGGGCTGCAGGTACGCTGTGAAGCTACCAATAGTGACACAAGCAAAAAGCAGAACTAAAGAAAAATCAGTCAGGAGGGATAAGAAGAGAGAAACGGTCTGAGGCCACCACCTAGAAAACTCTTCCTTTTTAGTGGTCGTTGGGTTGCATCACAAGTACACCTCACTTTCATTTACACAAAAGCTGGTAAAATAGATATACAGTTGTTTATATCGCTGGAGTTATATAGTGATAACCGAGTGTTCCCTTCATTTTTCTGACCAATGAATATCATAATCTCCTCTCCTCCTTCTATTCTTTATAAATGTGAGAAGAGTTTGGGTTTTCTCATCTGTCTTATGTACCACTCATTTGTTGACTCCGGTCTAGTGATTTGTATCCACCGAGCACTCATCTGGGTTGTGTTTCCTCGAAATTAAGTGTGGTTCATGTCTGTTGTTTTCTTTTTGAAGGGCATAGACTTCTCAACCAAGGCCAAACTGAAATGTGTTACTCTTAATCTGTTCACCTCCTAAAACTGGCAGTTGAAGCTGTTTCAGAGATGGAAAAGAAAAGAACTGACCTCTGTGAAGTATCGCTCTATGAATTTGTAGAGTTCTTTGAGCGCTGCTGCTTCATTGAATTCATTTTCGTGTTTCTGAAAAGAAAACAGTTTTTAGTTCACTGCTGGGATTTCCAAAACCCTTGATTTTACTGCATCAGCGCTAAATGGATTCACCTTTGACTCTTCGTGCAGGAAATCCTTGAATTCTGCGGGCGTGACTGGTGACTGGTCTCTTATCAGTTTGTAGTACATCTTCACTTCCTGTTTAAACTTGGGAATGTCTTTGGCATAGAGGAGCTTGTTGGTAGGCGCGTACTGAAATGGAGCAAAAATCAAGCATTATATGTGGCAAGATGCAAAACTCAAATAATAAACTGCAGATGTGTGACTGCTTTCTCCATAACGAAATGAAACCCACCCTTTTGTTTAGCAATAGTAATTAGGGATAAGCTGGGCGCTGTACTTACCTTCCCCAGCTGCATCTCACTCAGAGAAAAGGAGTCCATGAAGGCCTGAGCAATGACGGACAGGCAGCCGTCCATATGTGGCGTCTTCTCCATGTCAAAAACAAACTGAGGGTTTTTCAGAATGTTGATCCAGAAGCGCAGCGGCAAACTGGTGATAAGGGCATGAGAACATGAAACATCGTAAGACATTTGCTTATGGCCAGTGCTCTTTGATGTTTATATTTTGTGTACCTGTTGGTCTTCCAGATGTGCAGGACATCTGGATCAGTGATCTTCATGTTTTCCGCCTGAGTGTCCAAGAAGTCAAAGAAGTACTTGACAGCGAACGGAGATCTGCTGAGTGTCAGGCCCCAGATGGACCTGAAGAGTTTCTCCACAAATGAATGCACTGCCACCTAAGAGAGAGAATCTAGTGTCATTCTCAGCTTCTTCACAAGCAGCATGCAATGAGCTGGTTTCTGTTAATTCATCTCAGTTAGTTTTACTACATTTTAAGATAGAAAACCAATGAGACAAAGTCCCCTTTTTCTCCTAGAGTCAGGAGATGTGTGTCCGAGGGTATAATGACAAGAAGAGGCGATTCTGCTCTCTGTTAGAAAGACTGCATATTTACTATGAGGTGACAGGTATTTGGCTGCAGCCAGTAATCAACCTGCTGAACACATTTTAAAATCATATCATTCAGGTCTTATCTGGGAATTTTCAGAGAGAGTAAATAACCTTTATCAGTATTAATCTCGTTTTTTTTTTTTTTTTTCTCATCAGAACCATTTTTCCTGACAGTTAAAAGGGAAGGTTACTAAAAGTAGCCAGGTTAACCATGTAACCATGTCTCACATGGTTATGAACAACCTTGTGAGAGAGATTCTGGTATCAGTTCTGTATTAGTGGCTGTTTGTTTAAGCATACTGTAGCGCTGTAACTAGTTCCTCTTGCCTTGGTAGAGAGCAGCTTGGTGAGGTGTACTTCCTTTAGCTTTAACTTCTTCCTCTCTGGGTTCTTTGTTTGATCTTCATCTACATCAGGATCGATCTGGATGAAGACACCAGCCGACAGATTAGACAACATGTGTTCTATAATCTGAATCCAAGCATTAGTGATCCAAATTATTATTTTTTATGAATCAGTATTGGAAAAAATAACACAAGTTGTCTCTTACCAAATGGAAGTATTTTCCCGAGAAGTTCTCGTCATCTGGATGAAAAAATATAAATATCAGAGAGCGATCAACAGCAATTATTTAGTCATATATATATATATATATATACACACAAATTTTATGGATTTAATTAAATGCTCGTTTGAAATATGAAGACATGTGGAATTCTTAGTTTGATGCATTCAGTATTTCTTACCTTTCAAACTTCCTTGTGGGCTCAGAGGAGGATGAGTTTTCTTAGAGAGCACTTTGATTGTCCCGCCATCATTAGCCTACAGGAAGACAAACTGGTTCATTTTTATACAGTATTTTTTCTAAAATTTAAATGGAACAACTGCTATGGAATAAGAAGCCTTGCACGTTGTATATTTTGGGGTCTTTACCCCACAATATAAATGATCTTCACGAGATTGTTTTGCATTATATAAATAAAATGGAATTTCTAAAACTGCCCTGCAGAGGTCATAGAATCTATGTGTTTAATGTGTTTTCAGTTTTTATTTTCTTCATTACCTGCGTGCAAAACCACAACCACCCACCAGATATCTGGGTCTGTACTGGTTGCTTGTTACCCCACACTTGAAAATTGTTTCTTTCTTTCTTTCTTCATTATATGTGTGAGAGAGTCATTTAAGTTGTATTATTGCTTTGTAAATTGTCCAGCACCAGACTCCAAATCCAGCTTCTGCATCAATCTCTCTTTCCACACAGTGATGGTACTGATAATTGATAGAGACGTCACACAAACAGACTCCATGATCCATTAAAAACATTATGAAGCCATCAAAAACCACTCTTCCTCTGCTAGACTTCTTCCCTTTATGTTAAAAAAAAAACCCTCTACTGATCTTATTAGCTGTAATGAGAAAGTGAGATAGAATTTCCCATTTTCTTTGTTTCTCTGCCTCTCTTAAGATAAGATAAGATAAGATAAGATAAAACTTTATTCATCCCTCGGGTGGGTTCCTCTGGGAAATTTGTTTTCCAAAAAGCACAGCACCGACATAAGTTACAGAGTTAAGAATATTATATAT